GGACAAGACACTTAACCTTATTTGCTTCAATTTCTTCATCTGCAAAATAAGCTGGAGAAGGAAATGGTAAACTACTTCAGTATCTCTGCCAAGAAAACGCCAAATGGCATCACAAAGGGTTGGAAATGACTGAAAAATGTCTGAATAACAACAAATGTAATTGGCAGGCCCACTAAGAACCCAGAAAAGGATAATGTTTTCTATTTGAAGAAATAATCACAAAATAAGTGTCAAACAGCAGGGTAAATTATTATTATTTTCATTATTTTTAGCATATTCATCATAGAAGGATAGGGTTGTTGAAATGATTAACTTACAGTGAGAGAATAAGATCATTCACTGAAGCATATCTCCAATAATTAATTTTTAAAAGTTTTTTTTTAAGTTTTCCATATCAAACATCTAAACTAACTATGGATTTGCTAAAAATTTACCCAATCTTCAACATTAAACATTACTTCAACATTCACTCTGCCTTTCAACTCCAGTTATGCCATTAGTTTTGTCTGAGATGTGGTGAAAACAATATGATTGTCTCTGGACATAGTAACATTAAGAAATGTCCAAACATTTCTGAAACAAATATTTCAGGCTGGGGAGTTTGGAGCTGGGCCCTCTTCACCATTATATTTAATCGGGAAAGAAGTGGGATAGAAAATTCATCAGCAATCATTTATTAAGTACTTACTATGTGTCTAATGTGTCAAACACTGTGCTAAGTGCTAGGAATACAAAGAAAAAGAAAAAAAATAAATAAAAACCAACCAACAACCACCCCCATTACCAACTAAAAGGTTCCTGCCCTAAAAGACCTTATATTTTACTGGACCTCAACTTACACTACTCCCCATCTTTTCAGTCTTGTTTAGTAATACTATTATTCCCCTATTAGCACTCAGCATTCTATATTACTCACTTTTTTATTTTTTACTGTAAATGTACCAGGTTTGTAGTATGACCTTGGGCAAGGGACTTATTATCTCTTGGGCTTAGTCAGTCAAAGGGCCCTTCCCACCCCTCAAGTTTCTTAATTCCAAACAGCTCACAGTCTAATAGAAGAGAGACAACATGCAAACAATCATATATAGATAGATAGATAGATAGATAGATAGATAGATAGATAGATAGATAGATAGATAGA